TTACGTAAGCTGGGCCAATTTGAAAATACTTCCAAACACGTAGTTTTTTATGAATAAAAGTAGTTTCTTAAAGAACTTTTTGAAAAAAACTCCTCAGTTGACAAAACAGTTTAAAATTAAAAATTCAGCACAAAAATATTTTCAACGGAATCGTAATAATAACATTTTTGATGCTATGTTTTTTACCCTTTTTCAAAGATTGGTTTAAGAAAAACTTGAATAACTGGACCAAAACTGTTCCGACTTATGCGGTATTTTTGGAAGGTTATTTTCCCACTCTTTTTATTTGTGTGCAAAAAACTCATTCATTTTTTTTTCAAATACTTTGAATGACTTTGTTTGCAAAGAAATAAAAAGGTTGAGAAAATACCTTTCCGATTAGAGATGGGCGAAACACGTGATTTTCTACGTGCAGTAATGTTCCTAGAGCATCGAAATTATAATTTTTTCAAAATGTCGTTTACATATTTTTGGCGGTTAGGGCTTGATATATATGTATGTATGTATGTACAGTACTGCATCGCCAAAAAATGTTGCGGGTTTTCCGCTGGAATTACAAAAGTTATTATATTTGAAGACGTTCACTAAAATATTTCGGAAAAATATTGAGACCGATTTGAGAATGCCTCCAAAAATTTAGTTTCTTAGGAACTTTTAGAAAAAAAGCACCTCAGATGACAAAACAGTTTAAGCTTTAAAAAGGTGCATAAAAATATTTAAAAACCTTATATATTTCTTTTTATTATCTGAAAATTTGGATAAACAAGAGCCTAATAACATTAAAAAATAATATGACAATGTGGTAGTTTTTGCAAATTTTATATATAAAAATTTAATATAGCGAGTTTTGAAACAGTAACTTTTACATAGCTATCTGTTTTTTTTTGCTTTTCGCGTACGCTCTTCCATGAAGATTGGTCCGCTTCTTTTTTACGACGCCTTCCACTAGGCACCGAAACTACCACGTTTTCTTGCAGTTTTCTAAGTTCATCAGAAGATGGAGACTTTTGAAAGTGTATAAATAAGTATTATAGCGACTTTTGCAATAGTAGTTAACATTTGAAGCTATTTTTTCAGAAAATAGAAAGATTTTGCACTGTATTGTTAGTGGACATGAAACTACTTTAAATACTGGTACGTTACTCACCAAAAACTAAAAATCTAAAAAAATTTACATAGCGCCCTTGCAATTTTTGTATATCTTTAATTGGACCTTCACATTGTACATAAAGGAAGTACATAACAAAATTTAAAAAATATATGCCTTTTTTGCCTTTTTTTTAAGCTTTTTGCCTTTTTTTGAAGCTCAGAACCCCCACAACCGCCCCCCTTAATACGGCCTTGTACATATGTATGTGTATTTTCAACCAAAATAAGATCGTAAACTACTAAGATTTAACTTATTTACTAGGGGTCTTCCCTTAACCCATTTGCGCTCTCTGTACTATATAAACGACACCATTTCAACCCACGTCTAAAAGTTTCCTATTATTATTAAAACGAAATTGCTTTAATAAGTTTGCACCTACTGGTATTAATTTCACTTCAGATAGAATAGAAGATAGATAGGTATAACTGGAGATACCGGATTTGGACACTTACAAATCGACTTTTCACATTAGAAGTGGTCCACATGAAAACTGTGATATTTTTTTTTTTTGAACTATTGCACTTTTCCCTAAAATATCTGCTATCATAAAGTGGAAAAAGAGTAAATTAATCAAATTATTAACAGTGAGTATAAGGGTTTGTTATTTGATGGATTTATACACCTATTTCTTTAGGTGTCGTTTTTTTGGTTCAACGGGCACATCTATACTAATATATAACATTTCTTTGAAAGCCGGTTTTTTCTGTTCGAAAGCTTGAGAACAGCCGTACCGATTTTTCGAAGTTTTGGACATCTATTTCCGACATTCCGATCTCGATTATAGACTAAAAATAATATGAATATGTCATGGGGGCGTGGCATCTCCCATATAAACTGAATTTTTCAGACTGCATATGAAGAGGAGTTTGCAGTAGAATACTAGAACTTGGTATGAAGATAGTATATGAAATCAATCCTATACCAAGTAGAAAAGTGGCTGTTGAGAATTTTAGAGCAATAGTTTCCGCTTCAATGCTCGGAACTAATCCGGTTTATTTATTCAAGAATTTTACAGCAAATTGATGAACTTACGTGAAAATCTAAATTATTTTGCATTTTGAATATACATATATGTTCATATTTCAGTATGAGCATACTTACATTTGTGATCTTTCTTACGCTTAAATATAAAGTTGAACTTATCGTGACGACTGCTACAGCGAAAAGGGAACGATGTTCGTAGAAAAGAGAGCTGGGTGAGTTGAAGTTCAGCTAGCAAGGTTGCAGTCATTACGCAGTAGAGAATTGGATGTGTTGGTATTTATCCAGTAGGGTTGCAGCTATTAGTAGTTGGCCTTAAGCTCACTAATTTAACGAGCTGCGACGAATTAATTGGCTGTCCCCGTAACATTCCCCCTCCCGTAAATTTGAAGCGCCGCACAGTGCCGCCTAAGTGGGCATAAATCGAAAAATTCGTTATCTGCAATGTGAACTTGTTTGGTATTTCTGTAAAGACAATTTATCCCCTAAAAAGAATTAAACAGACATTTCCCTAAAAAAATAATTATATGCCGCCAGGAAGCCACTAAAGCGACCAATTTTATACTAAGAATTTTAATAAAAGCATAGCATATATTCTTTAAAATAAAATGTTGGTTTGACGTTTCTTGTTTCCATATAGATAGTAGAGAATTACAGGAATTAAAATTTTGGGATAAATTTAAACACAGGGTGTCCCTGCGGCGTTCCAAAAAAGACGATTTTTTTAAACAAAATTTCAAAAAATGCTAGATTTTAATGGAATGAATAAAAAGTATATGTAAAAATAGCTTATCTTTTATTATTTTATTAAATAGTACAGGCTTTTAGCTTTCAAAGGAAGAAATAAAAACCTGCTAATTTTTTGCACTTTCTGAAGTAATGCGTTTTTCGCTAAGGCATAAGATATTTTTTCCATTTTTCGTCAGTGCTTTGAGATCTGCACGATTCGTTCCATTTTCTAAAATTAAATGTCAGATTAAAAATCTTAACCTGTGGACAATAGGGTTATTTTTTTTTAAGAGTTGCCACCTGTTAAAAAATTAGATTGTTAAAAAATTGAATTCAAATTTTTTTACAATTTAAATCAATTATTAAAAGAATTATCAAAATGTGTATTAACTACACGTAGAGAGTTGCCACCTGTTTAAAAAATCAAATTCCACTTGAACTGAAGGAATTAGGTAATTGAAATAAATAGGTATCACCATAAGGTAGTCAGACGAAAGAGGTTTAAAATGGTTTTAGCTTAAATATATTACGAATAGGGTTGCCACCTGTTTGTAAAGTCGAATTAAGTTAAAATAAAATAATAGTTACGTCACACCATAGGATTACGCCATTGTATTTGTTGTTTTAGTACAAATACATATATTGTCAATCAGTGATTTATTCTGATTACATTCCTTTTAAATTACTGGACTCTTAAATTAACTCAGGAATGTTTTTCCTCTCCACTTATTTATTGCTAAATATGTCAAATTTTTTCATTTGTCTTATACTCATATTGATATACATATTTCAGTTACCTTTTTCCCTTAATTAAAGTGAATTTGATTTTTAAACATGTGGCGACCCTTCTACGTGTCATTTAGAGGTAAAGTATTTTCAAAACTAGTTCAATTGATGCCCATATTGTAACATCTTATTCATTTAACTTATTAAATAATTTTACTAAAATTAGTAACAGGTGGCAACTCTTTTAAAAAATACAAAACGTTATTACACATCTACAGGCCAAGCCCTGTCATTTCACACCTCACTTTGGAAAGTAGAATGGTATGTATTGTACATACCTATGTAAAAGCCACAAGAACCCAAATTTTCAACTTCAAAACTGCATTTACAGTGAAAATATGAAAGTTATCCTAAAACAATTGCATATTTGAATTTAGCGTCCTAAATTTTGCTAACAAGCGAATTTTCATTTAAATCCGTCCATAATTCTATTTTTGCCCACATTTCATATGGAAGGAAAGCACTGTGCGCCGTCTGAAAATTTACTGAACTAGATCCAGCCTCGCTAGTTTGACCACAGGCCGAGTCATCATCCCTGAGGCGGTTTTAACAACGGCACTACGAAATTGGCCGTCGTTCGCACGGTGCACTTCCATAAAAACACCTTTTAGCCAGGTATTGCGTTTGCTTTTGTCATCTACGACAATGACAATGTCGCCTACAACAATCGAATCTGGGGGATTCTCGTACCATTTACTGCGCCGTGTCAGGCAGGGCAAATATTCTTGTACAAAGCGCTTCCAAAACCGATCTGCTATTTGCGATTAATTTCTAAAATTCCTTCGTAGCCACCACCGTCTTCAATATCACGTTCACGCAGACCGCTCGAACTGCCAGTCAAAAAATGGTTGGGGGTAAGAGCCTCATCATTTGGCGTCTCTAAAGGCACATAAGTGAGCGACCTGGAATTTACTATACACTCCACGTCAGCTAGTACAGCCCTTAGAACATATTCTTGAACTGCCTCTTCGCGTAGAATTTCGAAGAGGATAGACTTTACGGAGCGGATCATTCTCTGCCATGCTCCACATATATGCGGTGCGTTAGGGGGTATAAAGCACCATTCGATTTCCGGGTAACGTTGCTCGATGTCGTCTGAAGAGAGCCTTTCCATCTCCATCAGAAGGATTCGGCTCGCTCCGCGAAAGTTCGTAGCATTGCCTGATAGCACACGCCGCGGCACGCCACGTCGGCTTGTAAATTGTTTCAAAACAAGAAGAAAGGCATCAGTTGAGAGCGAATGTTAATCTCGATATGCACGGCTCTGACGGTGAGACACGTGAAGAGCACGCCCCACCGTTTTTCACGTCGTCTTCCGACCAGCACATCAATAGGGCCGAAATAATCTACCCCCCTATATGTGAAGGGACGTGTGTTCAACGCAAGACGTTCTGGCGGTAAAGACCCCATCTCCGGTGCTCGCGGCTGTGCGTTGCCTGTAACGCACTTGTATCAGCGCCTGCCAATTGACGATACCAACGCCCTTAAATCGTTCATCCAATATTTCTGGCGAATTTCGTTCACAACGATTTCGTTGTGTAAGTGGTGGTACTATGATAGAAATCAACGATGAGTGTAGTAACAGGACTTTTGCTTGGCAGGTTAATTGGCCTTTTCGCATCAAATTGAATGCCTTCTGCTGCGTCGATTCTTCCTTTAACGCGGAGTATTCCGGCATTATCTAGATAAGGAGAGCATTTAAAAATGAGACTTTTTCGACTCACGCATAAACCTCGTTGTAAGCAGTTGATTTCTTCGCCAAAGGCTTCGAGTTGGCAGTTTAGAATGATCAGGTTCTCAGCGCCTTCGATTGTGGGACACGAAAGGGCTAACTGTAGATGCTTCGATTGTGCTGGTTTCCGCATCAATCTTTGGAGGAAATGCAGAACATTTCTTTGAGCAGCGCGAAATTTTTCCCATTTAATAAATCGCTCGGCTTTTGGCATAATCGCCGATAATGGTGAGTTCGACGTTGGCTCGATTTGAATATGGTGTAGTACTTCAAGATCTGTGTTGCCGGGTAAGTGCGTTTCAGGCCACATTTTCGGTGGTAAAACTAAAAATTCGGGGGCACGAAACCATCTCGAATCACCATCCATCCGTGTGTGTTGATTACACTTTGTGCCTTCATCGGCTACGTTTTCAGCTGATGGCACCCAACGCCAGTCAAAGGGGTTCGACGATTCCAAAATCTCACCTACCCGGAGAGCCACAAATTGATTATATCTCCGAGCGTCTGACCGAATCCAATGAAGGACATTTTTGGAGTCCGTCCAAAATATGGTTTTGGTCACCGGCAGCGTCACTTCCTGCTTGATGAGTTTTGAAATGCGAAGACCAATTATAGCGCCCTTATGGTCTGCTCTTAAATAGGCGACCGCAGCGTAAGCAGCTTCACTTGCGTCGCAGAAAACGTGCAGCTGAATATCGTGACTAGTGCAGGCATTCAAGTAGCATCGCGGTACACGAATATTTTCTATTTCAGGTAATAATCGCCCCCATGATTGCCACTCCTCTCGTTCATTAGCGCCAATCGCATCATCCCAATTCACGCCGCTACGCCAAAAGTTTTGCATTCTGATTTTTGCCCGGATTAAATAAAATCCCAATAATCCCAGGGGATCATAAATCGTCATGATGATGCGCAGAATAATACGCTTTGTGTAGATAGCACTTTCCTCGAAGACCGACTTGTCAAACCTCTCCACGAAAGTCAGCTCATCCGTTTGTGGAAGCCACCACATTCCCAAAACCTTTTCAACCAAGGTACCTGATTTCTCAAGGCACTTCTCTGCTTGTGTTGTCGAACCTGAAATCGCTTGCTGCACTCTTTCTGAGTGCCAATTGTGCATTTCGAAGCCGCCCTCTCCATGTATATACTTAACTTGTGATGCCAATTCGATCAACTCTTCTTCGTCGTCAGCACTGTCTCAAGTAGAACACTGGTGTATAACTTGGTGTAAATTTACGAATTTTGGTATAAATCTGATTAATTGTACCAAAATTCACAAATTTACACCAAATTATACACCAGCGTGCTACTTGAGGTGTAACCAATCGTCAACATTGGTATTTTTAAGAATCGTACTGACTGCATGCGCGTATATATTGCTGAAACGCGATGCGTTTTCGTTTTTCACGTAGTTTGCCAAAGACAGTGAGCAGGCGGCTCCGAAAGTCATAACCATCATTGCATACACATCAGGTTGCCTCTTATAACCATCATTGCATACACATCAGGTTGCCTCGACCGATTTCCGTTCCACCATAAAAATAATTGCGACGCTTGGTCCTCATCTCTTATAAGAATTTGATGGAACATTTCACGGATGTCCCTTGCGTTAGCCACACGCCGTTCACAAAATCGCATCAGTGTGCCGATTAGGGACGTCAAAGGATCTGGGCCTGACATCAAATAACTACTTAATGAAACGTTCTCAACCGCAGCGGCGGCATCCCATACGATCCGAGTTTTGTTTTTATTTTTGTTCGCAACTGTGAAGAGGGGTTAGAACCAGGGTTGGGCACAATGCACTACAAAATTAATGCAATACGCTTTTCACTACCACTGTCTATTCAGTGATAGTTAAAATGCAGAATCCATTATCACTGAAAATTTTAGTGATAGTGAAAAATGCACTATCACTGAACATTTAGTGATAGTTAAAAACAAATTGCACTATCACTAAACCCTTAGTGACAGTGAAAAACATTTTGCACAACGACTTAATATTTAGTGATAGTGAAAACCTTTATTGATAATTAAAATTTGTCAGTAAAATGACATTGCTTTTGGCTGTAAACAAGTTTTATTGTTATGACATAGTTATTCTTGAAGAATAAAGTAAGACTATATTAGCTGAAGCAGTAAAGAGAAATATATTCAAAATAAACAATTATAGTACGTCTCTTCAAAAATATAAAAACATAATTCATTTTTTATTTGCCTTTTTTAGTACCAACATTTCAAAGTTATGGTCTGAAAGATTTTGCCTTGTCGATCGATTGACAATCCCAGCAAAGGAAAAAATCTTTCCACTGGCGCAGTTACAAAACTACTTCAGTTGCTATAGCTCCGCCATGGCAACACGTATACCGATTTTCATCTAAAAAAGCAAATTATTTACAAAACTTTTGCAGGTTGGTTTCTTTTAATCAAATACCTGTAGACTCCTCATCGAATTTGAGAAATGATGTATTAGCACTTATGGAAGGCTTTAAATTATTATCTTCCCCTACCGGTTGTCTTTTAAACTCCATCGCATATTCTTTAAATTTATCCCGAACATCTTCTAGACCGTATGAATCAGCACTTTCTAGTAAAGTTTTGCAAAATTTTAGTTTGATATCGGGAATGAGAATTGCGGCAATAACTGCATCCCAAGAGTCAGAGTGCAAACTAAAATATTTTTCAAACCTTTGCATTAGCTTTGATTGCATTTGATTATTAGTTTCCGTCAAATATTTCAAGTTTTCGGAAGCTAAACGTCGCATTTTTATTTTGATGGATAGTAAAGTTGGAATAAAGTAACCAAAAAAAATGTTTTGTTCTCATTGAAGGAAGTCGATAGCTTCTGCGATAGGGTGCATTACTTTTGCATATTCTTCCAAATACTCAATTTCTTCCTCATTGAAAGTAGAAATTTCCACCATATAGCATAGTTCACCTAATCTGTTTTTGACTTCTATTAACTTCTGAACCGAATCGAACAATGAGTTCCATCTTGTAACGCAAGGCGTAACCAGATTCGAAGATATAACTGTTTTTATTATTTCAGCAGATTTCGGCCTATTACATTTATTCTATAATTTTGTACACCTGAGTTAGCAAAATGTAAAAAGTTAATATATGTACATGTTATAGATTTAACCTTACTTCCTTAGAGGGTCATTTTTGATACTATTTTTTCATTTATACTAAACTACCCTATAATAGGACCATATATGCAAGGTACAATCTCTGAAAATTTGACTGAATCTATCCAGTAGTGTTTGAGTTAAGTAAAATCATGGAAACGGCTATTATTTTACATATGTAGATAATATATTAAATTCACAGTAAAAAAAAGTTCTTAAATATGGTGTATGGCGCGGAGGCATGGACAAAGAAAGTGTAGTGCAAAAGTGCCCAACCCTGGTAAGAACCAGGTCTTTTCCGATAGGATAGATTCGCCTTTCTTCAGCTTACGGATATAACCGTTTTCTTCGTAGCTGTTAATTTTATTGTTTAAAAAATCCATCAGCTTAGGATCTCGTATCATTTTTTCTTCAAGGCAATTCAGACGCCGCATTGCCATAGGCAGAGAGTTGGGCGTGACTATTTTGTCAAACTTCCACAACAGTCCTGTCTCGTATCTCTTTTCAAGAGGCAGGTATCGAGTTGTGGATCTCATAATAGCATACGCGCGCTCATCTGCTTTGGATTTTAGGGGGTCGTCGGTTTTACATACACCTTCCGCTTCTAAAGCGTAGTTAGCTTTAGTAATGTCATCCAAGCGTTCTGTGGCAGTGCACGAACAAATATGTAGAAATCTGTTGGAAGTCTCACAAACAGCGCTGACGCGGCCATACACCGCCCAACCTAATCAACATTTAGCGGCAATGAGATGATCGCCTTTAGTTTCTCTTACTTCCAAAGGTACGCCCAGTTTCGCGTTATCTATGCCGATCAGAATAGTTGCACGCATAGACTCATAAGGCTTTATTGGCAATTTATTTAACTGGTTACGAGAATTTAATGTCGATTCGGATAGCGTTTGCATGGGAAGGTCGAGCTTTGCCACTGTGCGAACGTTACGCAAGGTGTATCGCGACGACTTGTCGCTTGATGAGATGTCAACACTTACCAGTTTTGAAGTTGGATCGGACTGGGTGATATCTCCAGTCCATCTTAAGCAGAGCTCTCGGGATGGTCCTTGCAAGCCTAACCTCGAAGCGACGTCACTTTCCAGTAAAGTACATGCTGACCCTTCGTCGACTAGCGCATACGTTTCTATTGAATGTGTCTTTCCATATAACGTGACCGGAACATAACGAAACATTATTTTATTTGATTCTCTTTTAGTGTGTAGCATAACAGCAGTATCATTATGCACCTTTACATCATCTGCGTGAAGCAAAGCGTTATGTAGTTTTGTACAACCATTGATATCACAACCCTTTTTAAAACATCTAATACACAGTTTGTTCTCACGTATAATTTGCCATCTCTCTTTAATAGCTAATAAAGGAAACTTCTTACATTTTTGCAAATTATGATCTTCTTTACAATAAAGGCATTGTTGTTGTGGATGGCCACTCATTTTATCGCTTTTACTTTATACTACGTCATGCACTGAAGTCTGGACTTTGAGTGTTTACCTTTTATTCCGCTTACTGTTGTTGTTGCGCCCACAGAAACTACCTGACTAGCACACCTCGCTAATTTAAAGAGCCAGTCGTCAAATTTACCTAAATCAGTTACTATCATATTTACTACCTGCCTACCCCATTCCTTTTTAGGTCGCATGGCAGCTTACTTAATAAATCGGATAGAAGCATTGGGTCGTTTAAGTACGCCGAAAGTCCAATAGCATTCATAGTCGAGCGGTAGTTTTGGACAGCAAGAGCAAACTGTATAAGAGTTTCTAAATTGTCGTGGCGAACTGCCGGCTCTTGCCTTAGCTTTCCTTGTAATGCTTGGTGTATGACGGCAGGTCTGCCGTATAACTTGCGAAGAGTTTCGATGGCTTGTGATACGGTTGAAGGTGTCATCAGTTTGCCTTTAACTACTTCTAACGCAGCACCTTGCAGACAGCGTTGGAGGCGGATAAGATTCTCCGCTTCTGAAAATCCGCACCACTCAGTAGATTGCTCATAATTAACAATGAATCTTTATTCATTCTTCTTGTTTGCCAAAAAATGCCGGTAGCTCTTTATTAACAACCCGCCTGGATGCTATCTGCATTGTTGACAATGTGCAATCGACCATTGGGCGCCTTGTTGCCTGCTGTAGAAGCCACCAGGTACATGCGATGGAATCGAAGCGGTGAATATGCCTGTCGAAGAGACTGTCGGAACAGGTCCAGTTATTGGAATTGAGTTCGCATTATAACAAAGAAATTGTTGATCAGCGGGCACTGCGGTTGAGTGCGATGCTTGCTTTGTAGTCTGTACGGCTTGATATAGAGTGGTTTGTGGTGCGCTGAATCCGGCACCTGCTAAGCCGTCGTCATAATGAAGAGTGGTGGAATAGAAGGGGTGACTTGTGCCTAAGACGTGCGTTCGTTGCGTTATTGTGTTTAGAGGGGCATACTGTCTACTAGGAATGTAGAAATGAGATGGTTGTGCTGATGTAGATATATACCCTGAACGCGGATGCATACTAATAAGAACCGTGGAGTTTGCGGGCCACGCAGCAGATGGACTCGAAACAGCTCGATGCGGAGCTTTGGTATCAAATGGATTGTCTGGCGAAAAAATATCTGCTCTTACCATATTAGGTGGTGTAAATACTTGCCCTAGCGCTTGCTCATTTAGTATAGAATCGATTGAAGGATTGCCCTGCCTGATTGTCGTAGGTGCCATATAGCTACCG